ACCGCCCCAAGACGGCTCCAAGTGGCCAAAGAGCTCCCCAAGGAGGCCCCGAAAAAGCCAAAATCCGTCCAACACCTAAGGGAAATCAATGTGATTTGTCTTCTCGTCAATGCGCTTCCGATGGCCATCCGAGGCCTCAATACAGTTCCAAGAGGGCCCATGAGGGTCCCAAGAAAGGCCCAAAAGAACCCCAAGACGGCCTAAAAAGCGCTCAAGAACGCTTCAAGATCGCCTCACGGGGGGCCCAAGATGTGATTTGTGGGGCTGCCGAAGGGGGGCGCAAATTAAGAACCGTCCCTTCTTTGATCGATCTCCGTGGCCCCAAGAGCGCCCCTAAAGTTCCCAAGAGCGCCCAAGAGAGGGCCCCAAGAGGCGCCCAGACGGCCCTAAGAGGCCCCCCAAGAGGCTCCCAAGAGACCCCCAAGAGGCCTCCCAATGACTTCAAGAGGATCCCCGAAGCACCCAAGATGCCCCCCAAACGCTCCAAGAGGCCCCCCCGAGGCACCCAGGACGCCCAAGAGCCCCCCAGGACCGCCAAGAGACCCCCAAGACGTCCCAAGAGGCGACCAATCAGCGCCCAAACGATATCCCAAGAGGCTCCGAGAGGCATCCAAGAGACCTCTGGCTCTTTTGCTCGCCCTCCTCCTGCTCCTCCTTCCTCCTTTTCCTCCTCGTCCTCCTCCTCCTCCTCCTCCTCCTCCTCCTCCACCTCCTTATCATCATCATTTTCATCTTTCTTCTCCCCACTCCCTCATCCATCCATCCAGCCTTCTTCTTCTCCTCCTCCCTCCTTCGCACGGTTCGGCCGTCCACCTCTTTGCTCCCGCACTTCCCTGATCACCTCAACTCGCCCGGACATCGTTTCTGGATGGGCTGGTGGGGGTACTTTTTCGTTCGCGAGCGCGCAAGAATGCCAAGCGCCTTGAAGAAATGGCGGGGATACTTTTTGAGCTGCGGCCCGCAGGGAAGAGTCCAGAGGGCGTGTCAATCGGGCTGACTGGGGCACAGAGCCAGATAATTTGCGATCGTTGTCGACAGCCGACCGCACGTGCAACATGCAAAACAAATTGGGGGAAACGGGCAGACGGGCAACAAGCCAAAGAGATGCAGAGCACCAGTCGAGAGTCAGCCGCGCGTGGCGACGTTACGTTGCGCAAGCGCCAGGAAGCCGGGCGCTGAGCAGGGCGGCGGAAGGACGAACGAGGGGGGGGAAAGCAATATGCCTCACTCACGGAGCGCCAGGTGCTCGCCGGCGAGCCGACTCTGACCCAATCAATATTAAGGTCGTGAGTCCTGATGGGGCAGCCACCATCCTTAACGACAGGGGTGCACGTCGCGCAAACCACGTCACAACCACCAGTGCCCAGTGTCTTGCCCTGGGGGACCTGCAGGTAGGAGTGCACCACCTGACCATCGCAGAAGGGCAAGACGTCGATGGCGACAGCGAGCGTGAACCTCTCCCAGAGGAAGAAACAAAGATCGGCAACGCCATGGGGGAAACGACGGCCAGGAGGAGACACGGAACTGCCACAGGATGCACCACATGAACAGGAAGTCGTACTCCAGGGCGACGGCGCCGTATAGCGGAACGGCCACGTCGTGGAAAGGCCGGGCCTGCCAAAGGATAAACCACTTGTGCAGGAGTATGCCTTACCAGAACCACCCGCAGGTGGTGGACGAGGACCCAGTCGGCGCTTGTCAAGTGGGGGAACAGCCACTGGGCAAGAGCACCAGCCTCCAGAAGGCGTCAAGTGGAACGTAAGGGGTGGGCCTATGGCCGAAAGCCCCCACCATCCCCGGCGAGCACTGCACCAGAACGCAGTGCTGAGAGGGAAACACCTCGTCCCCAGGAGGTGACCTAAAGGTATAGGCCAGAGCCACACTGCACGTCGTCGGCACACCTCAGCAGTCGTCGAGGGCGACAGGAGGGGAGGGGAGGAGGCGCAGCCGATAGCCGCAGAACATTCGAATACACGGAGAGGAGGAGCCGGGTGGAAACATGGTGGGGATACGCGAAGCGTCTAGAATTTGCCGATGCTTTTGGGCCACAACTCGGGCCCTGGCAGCCGTTCAGGACACTCCTGAGCTTCCCTGAAGGCTCTCTACGAAGTGCAGCTGCTGGAAGGAATCCTGGGATCCAGAAGCTCTCACGTAAGAACACCAACAGCTGCAGGGAACCCTTCAGGTCCACTCAGCTGCAGGAGTCTCGATCCCCAGACCTGCCCTGAAGCGCGCTCTGGCCAGGATTCTTGGAAGCGCATCAGAGGCTACATCTCGCTGGGCACGAAGGGACGAGCATGGAGGAGAGACGCAACGAGGGGGGAAGAGCTGGGAGGGAGAGAGGGATGGAATCGTGGAACCTCGCTTCGAGACGCGCGATGCCTTCTTTCCCTGCCGCTTGCCCAAAGCCCGTCCCTTGGCTGTGGACTCAATGGATCATAGGTGTGGACAGTGGGAGCTTCGCTGATCCATTCATTTGGACGCCCGGAATGAATACAGTGAGGGTCTTGACCTAAGGAACGATAAATAAGGAACGAGGCCCCTTTTTCCCACAAGTTGAACTCCGACTTCCCATCGAAAACCAAAGGAAAACCCAAGGCAAGCTGCGAAGGCAATCAAGGAACACGGAGCCCCTCCCCAGCGAAAAGGGTTCCTGCTTCAGGGCCCCGACTGTACGACACAATTGGGTACGAGACAAGCTGCGTCGAACCTGAGTCGAACATGATTCGAACCTGAGTCGAACCTGAGTCGAACCTGAGTCGAACCTGAGTCGAACAAGAGTCGAACTTGAGTCGAACCTGAGTCGAACAGATCCATTAGGTGGCCCCCAGGAAGGTCCCCAAAACGAGCATCGAACAAGTGGGTACGATGCCTATCCACACGTGGTGTCCAACACCGGCAGGGGCCGCTTGTTGGACGGGCGGCCGTCTTCTTCAAAATCGACACAGGCCCGCGGCGGCACCGCCAGCGAGCCATCTTCAGAATGGACAGGGGCTGCTGTCAGTGTTCGTTCCCATTGTTGAAGGGACCCAAGGACACAAATAAATACACACAAATGAATAGATTCCCCATAGTTTCCCATATTTTCTGGGTTTCTGTCTTCCCGCCCACTTCCCAAATTTCCCATATTTTCTAGGGAATCGACGATTAATTGTGTCTGTGTGTTTTTTGTTCCTCCTGACCCATTGTTCCCGTACTCACTGCGAGCGTGCGGGGTAAGCTGCATAAACATAAACTTTCAGAGCTCCGCGCGGATTTCTTTGATTGGCGGTACCCAGGTGAGGCACTGAAGAACCCCCCTGTTATCGTCAACGCCGACAAGAAAATACATAATGCGAGGGGCCAGATTTAGCGGAGCGATGCCTTTAGCACCGCACCAAGCCGCAACACATTGATAATTATTCCCCCCCCCCGCGGCAAACATCTACAAGGACGTGATGGGCCGGGCGCACGTCCAACACACTGGTTCTGATGCGTTGCTACTGCTGGTGTTGCCTTTTCTTACCCCTCGACCGCAGAAACATGTGAGCCTGACGCAAGACTCGAACCGAAGACGGCGTATGATATCTGAAGGAACAAACGCACTTGCACTAAAGTGTCCGGCCGTTTTTGGTCCCTCAGAAACCGGGCCGAATCCGAGAAAGCATCAACAACATGCTTGACTACAAGACGTTGAGTGGTCAAGCAAATTTCCTCACCATGAAGTCCCATCTGACGATCTCATCCAGTGACGAACTCATCTGGGCCCCCTAACTGTGTTACGAGGTATGCCCGAAGACAAGGACAAGGCTAACGGACCAAGACAACCCTTGTAGACTAGACCTACCTCCCGAGAGCCCATAAGCGAAGTAATAGTAAGGATTGACGGTAAGAACGCAAGAGCCTTGACCGCCGAAGATGGCGAACTACTCTCTCTCTCTCTGTCTCTCCTTCTCTCTCTCTCTCTATATATATCGATTATGTTCGTTGTTGTGCAGATTTGTACGATTAGTAATAGCAGTAGTACCTCCTCCTCCTAGTCCTCCTCCCTGTCCTCTTCCTCTTCCCCCTGTCCTCCTCCTCCTCCTCCTCCTCCTCCTCCCTCCTCCTCCTCGTCCTCCTCCTCCTCCTCCTTCCTCCTCCTCCTCCTCCTCCTCCTCCTCCTCCCCGCCACTTTTGAGGGTTGCTGGGGGCTCCAGAAGAGTGCTAAGCAACGGCCAAGTGCCAGGGTGCCAGGATAATTCTTCAGGGTGCTTGGTGCGTTGTCGTTTCACCAGAAGGGGGGGTCTTCATTGCTTCCCTCGATTAGGCCCCCTGACGGCGCCTCCGACGCCGTCCCTGGCGCGGCGTGGTCCCCCCTCCCCTGGCAATCCCGCGCCGAGCTCCAAAACAGCATGTTTATTGAAACTGTTGCTCCAAACTTTTGCTCCGCGCTGAGCTCTCGGAGGTAGGCAGAACACCCTTTTAACAAAACGCCCTTTAGTGAAAGCTGCCAGGGGCACCCCACGTTCGTACGGCACCGCATTCCGAGTGAACCCAGGCGGGGCAGCGGGGTAGCTAATCGATGCATCGACCTGGAATCGGCGATACAGCGCCGATAGGTCGGCGACAGGCCTCCGATAGTGCATCCGCACCGTCCTGGGCAGGTTGGGGCTATCAGGCCCCCATGGGCGATCAGTGGGTGGTTGGGTGTCGATGCGTCCCCCCCGCCTAATTGTGCCTGTCCCCTCCCCATCCTTGCCCCCGAAAGCTCCTGCAAACCGGCGAGCTGGCTGACCCCCCTTTGCTCTGACCCCCGTCTCGTATACATAGGGGAAAACAAACCTACCTCGCTTTTGACCACCCTCGCTTCCAAGAGATACCAAGCGATGCCAAACTACGGCCTGTACTGGTTAGGCTGCTTGACGAGGAGGCGCGTGGTATGACTTGGTTTTGCCTGGAAGCGAAAGCGGGGTAGGTAATTCACGCTCCGAATACAACTCGACTGCTGCCGCTGCTGCCGCCGCTGCCGCTGCCGGGGCCTCCGGCGACCCCGGCCTCGGCGCTGCGGCGCGGGGGCCGCCGGGCGGCCGGGGGGCCCAGCAGGAGGCCTCGCGGGCGGAACGGGGCCTCCGTCCCTCCCGGTACACCGCCGGCCTCAACAGGCCCCCCCCCCCCCAGGCGGGCGACGACCAGAAACGGATCCGGCGATCCTGCGCCGCGGCTTGCGCGGGCCGCCAGCGCGGCACGCCACGATGAAGACGAGAGCGCTGATGCGCGACCTTACGCGGGCAGCTTACGCGCCAGTGTCGGCGCAGACGGGCCAATTTTTCTGCGTCGCTCAGGTAGTCCCAGCTGGCCTCAACCGGCCCACCGAGCAGTCCCAGCTGGCCTCAACAGGCCCCCTGGATAGTCCAGGGCGGGCTCAACACCCTGGCGCCGCCTCTGGCGGCGGCCCTGGGGCGCTCCGCGCAACAAGGTTGTGAGACCGACCTGCACCAATGCAGGATGACGATTCATGAAAAATAGGGGGAAAGATACAAAAAAGCTTCTTTGATTTCTATATGATTTTTCAGCGGGAGGAGGACGATTCAGAAATATATGTCTATTACACGTCGGCTTCGAATCCTGCGTCGCGCCCGAGGACGGCAGGGGGGGAACGACTGGAAAAGTGGGTTGCCTGCGGACGGTTTCTTCCAATCATCCTCTGGGGCGCCGCCGACGCAGCACGACCCACGGCCACTAATCGGGGGGGCGTCCAAGAGCGGGGGGCGCAAATCATGGCCGGCGGCATGTGCGCGGCCCCTGGGGGGGGGCCGAGGCGCGTAATGAGACAAGAAGAGGCGCCATGAGATCAGGGGAAATATCATGGCCCACGCCATGATATCCCCCCCCCTAGTCATTCATCCCCCCCCTCTCTTCCGCCCCCGAAATAATCGATCGCCATCCTGCATTGCCCGGAGGGCCTCTCGGGGCCAGCCTGGCCGACGGTGCGAAACGCGCGGAGCCCTGCCCGTCCCCATCCCTGCTCCCTTCGCGGCTGCCCGTGGCCCAGCAGCAGCAGCAGCAGGTTATGAGCGGCGCGCGCATCCGTGTGTCCGCGCCCTCGCGGTCTGGCTTTCCGGGGATACGGTCCCGCGGACAGCGACGGGTTGAGGGCGGGTCGTTCTTAACATGTGGCTCTCGCCTGAGCGCCGCGCACACTCGTTTTGAACATATAAAAGAGTTTCGCGGATGGAGGGCGGTTCCTTTTCACGATGTGGTTTTCGCCTGAGCGCCGCGCACATTCGTTTTAAACATTTGCTAGGTGTTCGATGGTTCTCATGGCTGACGTACCAGAAAAGGTGTTTGGACCTATTCAGGGCAGTCAGGGTGCAACAGTTACGTTGATTCGCGGTGTTTATTTCCCAGGAATGGTGTTCTGTTCACGATTCAGGATCGCCAAAACGTAAGAGTCAAGTTAACTCGTGGCGTTCGAGTCCCGAGAATGGTTTTGGCACGCTTCAGGATGTTCACACGGCTGTCCCACAACGGGGCACTTCCCTCAGTAGAACTGGCCCCTTGTAGGGGCCTATGAGGAGGGATCTTGGAGGGAGGGTGTATTTCAACATCGTTGATGAGTCTTGGGTTGCTCTGGTCCCTCCTCCTTCTCCTCCTCTCTCCTCCTCCTCCTCCCACCTCCTCCCACCTCCTTCCTCCTCCTCCTCCTCCTCCTCCTCCTCCTCCTCCTCCTCCTCCTCCTCCTCCTCGTCTGGGCCCTCGCCAACGAAAAGGAGCCCGGGGCGAGGCCTCGACCCCGCGCCCCAGCGAGGCGGGCGGCGGATGGAGCCGCCAGCGCGCGCTGCGCCAGCGTGGCGCCCCTGGCGGTTTGCGCGGCGCGCTGCCGTCTCTCTCCGCGCGCCGCCGCGGCGCCCCGCTCGTCGCCGCCGCCGCGCTGCCTCGTCAGTCGCCCTCCTGCGGCCGCAGGGCGTCTCGAGGTGACTGCGGCAGGCTCGCGTCGTGTCGACCCCGGCGCGGGGGCGTCTTTGGGTGCTCGCGGGGCCTCGTGGGATCTCCTGGGGCCTCCTGGAGGCCACTGGGGCTTCCAGGGGCCTACGGGACCTCCTGGGACCTCCTGGAGCCTTCTGGGTCCTCTCTGGGCCCGATGTTGCCTCGTGCGGCCTCCTGGGGGTTCCTGACACCGCGGGGAAAGTTCCATCTCGAACGATCGCCCGTGTCCGAAACGTCAGATCGCTCAACATCGGCCGATTCTGTGCCACGGGCGGCGTTCCAACTTCAACGCCGGCGCTGGAGTCGTCGACGGTCGGCACGACGCGACCCTACCGTACGCAGCCAACGCAGGGTTGCACTCGAGAGGCCAACGTGGAGGAAGAACCACTGCATTGACATGTGCTGTCGAGGGTCCGCACGGAATGCGTGGATCGGCGCTGGGCCCCCTCCCTGGCGCGCGGAGCGCGCCTGGGACGGCGCCGCAGGTCTCGCCAGGGGGTCCCAGCGCAGATCCAAGAGGAGGAAGAGGAGGAGGGGGAACGGGGGAGGAGG